CCACTCTTTCCTGTGTAGAATCCGTCCAGCGTGATCGACAGGAAGCAGAGGATGCTCATCTGGCCCGCCGGATACTTCACGGTGATTCATTTCCCGGAGGAAGACGTCACCGTCCTCTGGGACCGAAAAACCACCGTCCACATCCAGGTTGGACCTCGATGGCAGGTAGGACGCCGGCTCAGGGTTGTGATTTCAGCTGACGCTCCGGTAGAGACCGACTACAAACATGTTGAACTGCTATGAGGCCAGTTCAAGCTATAAATGTGCATTTTCGAACTGAGACCACATTTTCCGTCAGAACTCTTACTTCTTGTCTTTCCCTGCGAGAGGATAAATATTTGAAGTTGAGCTTGACGGTTGACAAATCAGTTTTAACTCCATCTCGTCTTTGAATTATATCCCAGTAAATGTTTCTGAACACTTTTACTGGCTTAAAAGTTGAGCTGAGTGATGTTTTCAAACTGAGAAAACTCAACTAGCTGATGAAAACTAAGTGATAAGATCAGAAGCTACAGCAAAAGCATGCAAGTAGGACTTTTTAATCAAATATTTGAGCAATTTGCTGCCTGCTTTTGCGACCATTGTCAGAGAAAATGTCATGTTTTAGACATTGATAGATAGAGCTGAAAGGATAATTGATTACTCAATTAGTTGTCAACTATTTTACTAACCAATAAATTGCTTTTATTAATTGTTTAAGGGAAAAAAACATCTAAAATTTGCCTATTTTGTGATATCTTTTAGTCTCTGTGGCAGGAAACTGAATATTTTTGGACTGTGGACAAAAACAAGACATCGTCCTGGAAACACTGATCAACTTTTCAATGTTTTCTTAAGTTTTCATTGGAGGTTTTAGCTCACAGACATACAGTTTATTGATGTTTTTAAACAAAATCAATAGTTTGATGTAAAACAAATATATCTAAACAGTAATGACATCACATGAATACAATGGAAGTTAATAGCCAAACACCCTTCAAATGGTACTTTACAAATATGGCCACATAACGAGCTTATTCTCTCTAAAATATGACGCTATATTACGTTTGTTTGCAATTTTTGCTAGAAAATCAAAATGAAGACGCACTAATGCTAATTCTGCTGCCTTCGTCGTCTGTCATGTGACTCGGTTCTTGTGGGTCATAGTTGTCTGTCCAACGTCTGTCTCTGTAAAATATTAAACATTAAACGATTTCTTCCTCGCTCACCACCTGAATTAGCGGCAATGTGCTCAGTGCTGCCACTGGTGGCCACACGCTGTATTGCAAAAACACTGAAGCAGGAGCATTGATTTCTATTAATATCGATTCTGTTTAGTTACACAGTCAGAACAGAATCCAAACAACTGACAGTGAGGTTCATTGAGTTTCTGATAAGATAAGATGGAATCCTTCATATATCGAGATTTTGGTGAGAACATGACATGAAGTAAAATATGACATGAAGAGGATGTTGTCAATGTGTTGGTGATGTGTTCAGGGGAAGCTGAGCGGCCTGTGTGGGAACTTTGACCTGAAGACGGTGAACGAGATGCGGACCCCCGACAACATCGACTCCCCAACGCCGCAGGAGTTTGGAAACAGCTGGACGGCAACAGAGGTGAATAAAACATCATCAGTTACAGTTTTAACTAAGTCGCTTTAAAAATCACGGCTCCTCTTTGGCAAAAAATGGTTTGATGTGACGTTAATGTGAATGTTTTTTTCTCCTGTTAATTACATAAACTGTAATTCATGATTTGTCATAGTAGGCTTTCCTCTCTTATATTGAAAACAAAGGTTTTAATTTACCAGCGCTGCATCTGTCTGTGTGTCTTCAGTGTGTGAACAGTCCAGATATCAGACACCCCTGCAGCCTCAGTCCTCTCAGAGAGCCTTTTGCAAAGCGTCAGTGTGCCGTCCTGCTCAGTGAGGTCTTCCAGGCCTGCCACCCAGTGGTGAGTCACAGAACAGCAGTTCTGCAGCTTGGACTTTGAGGAGGTCTTTAGTAGAATAAATAATAAGTTGGTTTTAGTGGTGAATTTATAAACTACAGTCTTGTTTTTATCATCAGTATAGTGCTGAGAGGTGTCTCTTTTCTGTGCATTCAGGTGGATGTCACCTGGTTCTACATGAACTGTCTGGCGGACACGTGTGCCTGCAGCCGTGGAGGCGACTGCGAATGTTTCTGCACCAGCGTGGCGGCGTACGCTCAGCGCTGCTGCCATCAGGGCGTCCCAGTCGACTGGCGCTCTCCGTCACTGTGCCGTAAGTCAGAACGCAGGGAGAGAAAAATAACTGCTTTGTTTCTGTGTGTCTTTACTTTTTTTCCACTTTTTTCACCTGTCAAAACTTTTGCAAAAAGTGACACTGACAGTCTGTAAAGCTGAGGTCAGCGTTGTTCGTTAATTTGCCAAAGAATGACTCAAGAATGGCAATGACCTGTTTCATTGTTAAAATAAAATGTTCCTGTTGTCTTTAATATATATATGTATATTCGCAGTTTATCAATTAGACAATTAGTCAATTAAACTGCCACCAGCTTGTGTTTTAGATGCAAACTACTAAACATTAATAGATGCTAAAATGCTTGTTTTCATTGACATTACCCCTTTATATGAATCATTATACGCTGTAGATTTATGATAAGTTTTGTAAATATTAGGATGCAAGCATTAAAAGTTAAAACTTCAGCTTTTGTCGTGGGCCACACATTTTTGTGGGAGGGCCACATTTGGTCCACAGGCCGCTGTTTGCCCACTTCTGCTATAAAACATTAGTGTATGATTAACCATTTATAAAGTTAGAGCTTACAAACCTTTTGTAAAACATCGTATGCTTTAGTAAAAGTGACACTGATCTGTTTGGATTACGGAAATCCAAGCTATAAAGCAGTTTGTAATAAATTATTATTATCTGTGTTGTCATCAATGATATTACTGGTCCTGTTACTGACGACAGTGTTTCTTCTCTCTGCAGCGTATGATTGTGAATTCTTCAACAAAGGTAAAACAAACCTCTCTGCTCCTACAACACCAACGACATCATACTGTTACAATAAAAGTGTGATAGGAGGATGAACGCAGACATTTCTTGTGGTTTAGAGGGTTACAAATTGCATTGTGTAGCTGTCTTTGCACAGCAAGGAAAGATTTTATAGAAAATCTGTGTAAAATTCTCCCTCACAGTCTCGTAGCTCTGGAAAAGAAGAAGTGCACATTTGCATCATAAACAATCACGCCACTCAAGCAAGTGTCTAGAGTCTGATAATTCACTTCCCAGGAAGAATAGCCAATGCTTATGCTGGTGCTAATGGGGATCCTAATAAAGAAAACGAAACTTTCACATCATATAAAAATTAATGGAAGCCTGTGGGTGTCTGGAGCTGCAGGATCGTTCATTCATTCAGTCACAGAATTAAAAAGCAACATGGTGTGTTCAGTGCAGCGCTAACATGGCCGCCTCTCTGCAGTTCTGGGTAAAGGTCCCTTCAGGCTCTTCACCTTCAGGGACCGGACGGCGCTGCTGGCAGCCGGCAGGTCAGGCGGCTCCGTGTACCTGCAGCGAAGCAACATCAGCTCAACCGCTGCCTCCGGCGTCCTGTCTCAGTTCATGATGACGCCGGGCCTCAGCAGAGCTCGACCGCACGGTGAGTCCATTAAAACGGCGCTGTGGGATTCATTTCACTACAAGACCTGAGATTTACTTCTTCTTCTGTGTTGCCTTCTCCGTCTTCTCTCTGCAGTCTTGTTCTTCATTTTATTTTTGGGCAGCCAGAAGTCACGTCTGAGAGTGCAACTATGTCAACAGCATTGAAAAAAGTGCTCCTTACATACTTTTATGAACAGCCTTAAAAGCTACTCAAGATTTCCTGATGTGCCTAAACTCTCTTCCTGAGAACATGAATCCATTCTGAGGAAAACCCCTGACCTGGAATTGTTTTACTTAAAACCTCTGATCAGTTTCTGGTTTTACCCCAAAAAATTCTCAGATTAAAAAAACGTTTCTTCTCCATATGCATGAAGAAGGAGGCCTTTCTTTTGTATTTATTTATATTTATCACAGTTTCAATTCTTTATAAAATTCCGTTTCCCAAATTATACCACATGTGCAGCATAGAGAACTTTCCTTCACCCAGACCTTTAAGAATCCTGGAAACATCCTTGAATTTGATGTCAAAGTGAGTGTGGGAAACCTGCGGTTAGCTGAGAGGCTTTATAGTTTTATTTTACACTCATTTCGTGTCACCGCAGAAAAAAACGAAGTGTCCGCTTTACTAATGAAGGATACAGTAGCGTCTGTGCATGAAAGGAAACGTCTGTAGTGGGCTTTGGGAAAGTTTGATCGTTGTATAGATAGCGCAGAGATATGCTTTCCTGTCAGCAGAATGTCGAGGGCGGCTGAATGAAAGAGGCACAAGTATCTGAGGCTCCAGGAAACTAGTGTGAACCAGCAGGACGCTATTTAAGCACAGGTCTTCTTACCTTCATGGTAAAAATGTGCTAAAAACGTCCAGTAATGGCTCATGTGAGAGTTTTCTCATCAAGCACTTGGTTGCTCAACTACAACTATTTTTAGTTTTAATGCTCAGAAGAAACCAGGAGACAAGACCGTGGTGTCCAGTCAGTGAGTCTTGTGGACTTCCAGCCATCGTCCTTGACCTTCTCTCTCAGACTTTCTGCTTTTCTTCTCTGGAAAACACGAAGCAAAGCGTATTTTTTTGGACCCTTTGGAGCTGCGAGAACAAACTAAAAACACAGAATTGATTTATTTGCAGCTTATAAGGTTGTTAAAAGGCCACAAAACAACAAACTTGAGCTAAAAAGATGCTAAAACGATCCATGAAACTGGGGGAAACTGTGTACAGAACTCTGCAGGATACTTTAAATAAACACTGATTTCATCCCTTGTTGATAACCAGCTTTTGGAAAAATGACTCGTCCTGCCCCGAGTGTTTTAAGGATTTGATTTCCTGATGAGTGCAGGATTCCTGAGCGGCAGACACGCAGCTCATCACTGCTTCACGCTGTCGATTCATCCTGTTTTCTGGCTGCTCATCTTTTCACCTTCAGCTAATCGGAGAATCAGAAAGTTTGACAGAGAAGCTGCTAAAGACCAACCAGCCGGCCGGCATTCTCCTCTTCCACTGTTTCCTTTGCGATCGACAGTGTTTGGAACGATCTGAGCGCCCCCAGTGAAAACACAGATGGAGGAGATGGACTCTCATTGACTTTCAGCGGCGGATGGGTCCAGAGATCAGATTGCCAAATGCTAATATAGCAACCCGAGCTGAAGGCCGGTCAGCAAGCCAAGACTGGAACAGGCTGGTCTCACTGTTTACTGCATGTGAGCTGAGATGCTGCTGCGCCCGTCTTCAGGAGGAATTTTAAACATTTTAAACCGTTAAACACTCAGAATAAATGTTTGCTTTTACTTTTACTGAGAACTGCAGGCAGTCCACAGAACCATGAACTGAAGCACTTTGAGATGTGTTTTTGTCCTAATTGGGAATTTTTTTCTAGTAAATCACAACCTCAAATTACACACAGATAATTAATTTTATCAAAAACGTCTTGGTCTTCAGTGGCTGCAGTCTTAACTCACAGCGACCAAGATGTCAAGAGATATGAATAAGAAAAATAAAATCTATTTTCACTCAATTTACAGGTGACTAAAATTCACGTTTTTGAGACAAAACTAATTAAAACCGATCAGTGTATATTTTTAATTATTACCGTAGAGATTTTACTGTTAGATTTTATCAGCTATTAATTTAAAAAAAGGAAAAAGCGTGCCATAATCTAGCTTCACTTGTTGGTTGCATGAAATAGACAGACAGGAAATGTTCAAATAAATTAACTACAAACTTAAATAAAGCCGTACTAATCAGTACTTTACACATTATTCATAATTATTGTGAAAAGTAATTTACAGAAAGTGTCACCTGCAGCTCTTCTCATTTCTGATGCCTCTTTCTCTGTGGGTTTCTGTTTTATCATGATCATTTTCCATCTCTAACATGTGTGACTGACTTACTGTTGTATTTTTACGGTGGTATTTCATGAAAAAAAAAAACAGTTTTGATACACAGAGATGAGTTTTTAGAGATTAAATCAGTGCCTCTACTCCATGGGTGTCCAATCCTGGTCCTCGAGGGCCGCAATCCTGCATGTTTTAGATGTTTCCCTCTTCCAACACACCTGATTCAAATGATCAGGATGATTATCAGGTTTTTGCAGAGCTTGATGATGAGCTGATCATTTGAATCAGGTGTGTTGGAAGAAGGGAAACATCTAAAACTTGCAGGATTGCGGCCCTCGAGGACCAGGATTGGACACCCCTGTTCTACTCTAAATGTCTCATTCAGCTCTGCTAGCACCGACGTGTGTGATATTTAAACTACTTCTCCTTCTCTTTTTTTGTTAAAGTAGCTGCCTGTCTGTTCGCTCTCCAGCTTCTTCAGCATCTTGTTTTACTCATTTCCTCCTCACAGACTCTTCGCGGGTTTCCTTTGAGGCGGCCGACCGGCCGAACTACTTCCTGTACGTGAGCGCCGGCGGCCAGGTGAGGCTGGCCAAGTGGGAGGACAGGGAGGCCTTCTGGGACGGCGCCACCTTCGTCCTCCACAGGAACACCTGGATCCCGGGCTACGACTCGCTTGAATCTCACGCCAAACCCGGCTTCTTCCTGCACGCCACGCCGCCGCGCCTCCACCTGCTCAAATACAGACACACCGACAGCTTCCGCAAAGCCACGCTGTTCAGACTGACAGGTCGGCAGCAGCAACGTGCACAAACTCACACAACATTCACCAACAGTCGTCTTTACATAACAGGCTGCCAGTCACACCTAAATGTCACATTCAGAATTAATGGAATTATATTTGAAAGCTGTTTGAGTTTTATGCAGCCTTTTTGTTAACCTCATATAAATATGACAGTTTTGTTTATTCATCTTAAAATGTCACTTTTATAACCGTATCCACCAGCTTAAGGTCCTTTGACTTGAAGCAAAGAGTTGAATTATTGTTTTTAAAATATGATTTTGAGGAAACAGAGCTCTCATATTAGCAGACTTCCCAGCATTCGTTGTTTGAGCTGCCTTTTTTGTAAATCCGACACAACGGAAACGTCCTGGTTTTCTTAAATACTTGAACTAATTATTAAACCAAACTCTGTGAATTCATGTTTTCAAGGCAGCAGTTTCGAAGCTGAACAAACTTGAATTTATATGAGAGATCATTTTCGCACCTGTTTGGGATTTTGTCAGTCGGTTAAACGGCTGTTTTCAGTTTTGATTACATCTGTAGATATCCCCGGTCGGTGGCCTTCGCCTCAGGAGCCGTTATCACCTCGTTCAATAACGCTGAAACAACATTTAGGAGGGTTTCTACTTAGAAACTGTGACAAAAGTCTGCATTAGAAGGTTGGAGAGGACGTGGCCTAAATCAACCAGGAGACTAAAGTCAAAGTTATATCTGGAACATTGTTTTCATGTAATTTTATAGTTTTGTTTATTTTCAGCCTGTGTTTGGTTCAGTTTCCGCACCAGAATCAGTCTTTTGGTTTAGTTTAGTCATTTTTTGGAGTAAAATAAGCCCTTTTTCGATGTTAATCACATTTTGCAAAGCTCCATTTTCCACAGGAGATCTCACATACACTTACAGGTAAATCTCACTGCTCGGCAGACGTCCTAGTAACACCCACAGACAGTTATTTCATACTAGCAAGACCAGGCCTCTGTCTAAATGAACGTAGAACAAGCTGGTCAAATCTGATAAAAACCGCTTGAGTAGTTTGGTGACTTTGCCCCAAAATAAGGTTTAAAAAGTGTTTTTCCTCACAGGTTATGCTTACAGTACGCATGCACACAGTTTCACGATCGGTGCAACGACATGACTGACTTCATATTGTGAAGCAGATGATTTGCTTTTTTGGGGGGTCAGAGCAGGACATGCGTCATACAACCACTGTCTGGTGTTACAGAACTCTCCCATTTTAGCTGTAACACCCTCTTCTTTATGAGACTTTAAGATGTCCCCTGCCTTCGCCCTGAGTCGACTGGGATAGACTCCAGCCCCCCCGCGACCCTAATGAGGATTCAGCGGTGTATAGAAAATGGATGGATGGAAGATGTCACTGTTATCATATAGAGAAGCCATAATTATGAGGAAATGTTTCACTTCTTTGGTCAGTTCAGTGTGCTTCTGTTCATTCTAGGATTTAACCTGATCTTAGCTGCAGCCAGTAAAAGACGCCTTTAACGTTCAAACTGTGGGTTTAACTCGGGCGTCGGTGAGGATTCAGGATTCAGCCGGTCATCAGCGCTGCTCTCTGGGGTCGTAGGTCAAGACTAGCGGCTCCTCTGGCTGCATTCTCTGCTGACAGAGCAGTCGGGCTAATCACCGGCGCTAAAAATACAGCAGCATTTGTTTTTCTTAATGGAAAAGGCACAGCAGCCAAAAGCAGATTGAGTTTCTTGCTGACAGAAGTGAATGCCAAACGCATTCAGAGCAAGAGGTGAAGTCCACACACACACTGATTTCATCGCATCACTGCTCTGTGAAAACGTTTGTGGATCCTTGAAGACGATCTGGATCAGTAACGTGATATAATGTGCGTTTCCTTTGCATGATTTCTTGCTACATCAGAGGGATTTTTATTTCATGTAAATACTCTGGTCCCTGCTGCAAACATGTATATTGTACCAAAAACGGTTTCTGTTTGATAAAGTAAAGCTCAACATTAGCAGTTTCTACTATTTTGATCACATTTTGCTTTAATTAAGCATTTAAACAATGAGTAGAAATGATTTTACATGTGATAAAAATGTTTTTTTGCACATTTTAAAGCAGCTGAATATGACATTTAGATGCAGTTCAGTGCATTTATAAACAAGCTTAATACTCAGCAAATAAAATAAATCCATCATGTCCATTTTATTGTACCTCAAAGGACCGGAAAAATATTCCTTTGTGTCTTTATGATGCTTCTTTGTGCACGAAAGTTTCACAGAGATGCATTTCTTCCTCTGAGAATTTACCGAAACAAAGCGTGTGATGTTTTTGTGTAACATCACAGTACAAGAGTTACATGTTGTGTGTTTTTGATCAGGCCCCGGCCCGGACACCCCACCTGGCCCTCGGTGTCAGTGGAGGTACGACTCCTGCGTCAGCCCCTGTTTCAAGACCTGCAGCGACCCGTCGGCCGAAGCCTGCGTCACCATCCCACAGTGAGACCTCTGACCTTTTCCTTGACTCCTGGTCCAAGTCAGTGTGTAGACTGTCAGTTCCTGCTGGACTGAGGAGTAACAGGCCTGTAGTGACGTTTAATCAAATATTAACCATCATCCTACTGTGGTGTGAAAGAGCTTCAGGCTAGAAAACCTTTTTAAAAATGAATTTACACCTTATAAAATATTTGTTTAATGGAATCCAGGCACGTTTCTGTGAGTGTTTGTCTTCAATCTGAATTACCACACTAGACTTTAAAATGCAATCATTTTTACTCGTTTTACTATAAGTCTCCACTCTTTGTAAAATAAATTGGCACAGGAAGAGTGACATCCCTTCTTACATTTGCCAGTAGGACACTGTATACAAACACTTTTTTCCTGTTTGGTACCAAGCATACATTTTTCCTAATTTCTAAGTCACACAGTTTCCCACCGACATGGTTCTGCTATTTCCAGTTTCCAGACAATCTCCTCAACACAGTTATGAAACAATATTTCTACTGCCACCATTTTCTGACAACATACATATAAAAATATCTCATTTTCAACACAAATATTTTTTTTTATGATGATGTGAAAGCTAATATAAAAAATCTGCAAGTGTTATCATATAAAAGGATGAACATCTAGATAACTGACACTCTTCTGGTCGTCCTTATACTGACCAATAAAAGAGCTTAAAAGTAGAGGTAGTGAAATTATTCTGAAAATAGCCCACAAGGTTCATAAACCAGATGACTCCTGACACATTTGGTCAAAACTTTAGAGAATGCACTGAGGGACGGCTCTCATTTTTAAATGTAGACACACTTTAAATCAAATAGCCATAAAAGAAGAGCAAGTGACTATTTTGTGTCATAAAAACATATTTTAATAAGGCTAACAATTGTAGCCATGAGACAAATAAATAAAACAATAAAAAAAAAAAAATAGCAAGTCGTATAAAAGATGTTTAAGACGTCCCTTCAAATTTCCAAAACTGAATTCAGGTCTGATTCAATCATAAACAGGCATTTTCCCACTTCCACAGTGGGTCATGGTTAACAAAAAAAAAAAAAAAAAGGTCACATCTTTACTGTTATATTAATTTTTTCCCCATTATTCTGAGCGCATTGATGCTCGTTCATGATTCCACATGTTCGTGGGTTCATAGCTGTGTGTTATCTTCTGTACAGAGTGGAGGGTTGCCTTCCCGTCTGCCCCCCACACATGGTCCTGGATGAAGTCACCCGTCGGTGTGTCCATGTTGAAGACTGTGAGTGTCTTTTTGTATCTTCTATGTGTTACCTGTCTTTGATCGCAGCGTATAAAGTTTAAACAATACTGAAGTCAAATACTCGTATCAAGCAATTTTAAAAATCCCAAAATGAGCAAACGGAGTCACTCATCCACCAAAGAATTTACAAGAAGTTCTGTAGTTTAAATTACTGCTAACCCAAAGTGGACCAAACCTGTCATGAAATAAGATCCGTCTGTCTCGTGAACTGTGCCTCTGTGTCGAGCTCAGCGCTTCTCTAACACACTTTTTATTGGCTGGTTTCAGGTATTAAGGTCCCAGTTGTTGTTCAGCCTGTAACACCATCCGCTGCTCAGCCGACCTCTGCAGCTGTCACGTCTGCAACCACCACTGCCTCCACTACTCCCATTAGGACCACCACCACCACCACCGCTGCCACCACCACCTCCTCCTCCACCTCCACGACTAAACTCACCACCACTAGTCCTGCTGTGAGCGCTCAGACCACCACGTCTGAGGCGACCCGACCGCTCACTCTGTCTCCTGCTGCAACTCCTGAACTTCCTGGAACAACAGAACCTCCGTCTCCTCCAACAGTGCCCCCTTCTATAAGGCCAGAGGTGGTGGAGCCGCTGTCAACTGTCAGAGTGACGGAGGCTTCACCCACCACTGTGAAAGACTCGACGACATGGACGAGCAGGACGCCGAGCTCGACTGTCAGCCCCGTCGGACCGAGCACGTCCAGGACGAGCACCGCTCCGTTTGCCATCACGGCTCTGTTCTGGATCACCTCCACCACGAAGCCCACCGACTCCCTGCCGCCGATCCTCACCACCCTGCAGCCGACCACCGCTGCAGCCAAGACCTCGACTTCTGTACAAGGTCCAACCACAATCAGAACTCCTACAACTCTGCACCCAGCCGAAGTGACCACACAAACCACAACTCATTCAGCAGCAGTCGCTCCGATTGTAACGTCTTCCAGTCTGGCTCCTGCTCCGGTCTCACAGACTTCTGTAGTTACAGAGAAAACCACTGTTCCCAGTGGAGTTACGACTACGTACACAGACACCAGCACAACACCTACAACAGAGGAGAGAACAACGACAACAACAACACTCGTCCCTCCTGGTTTACCGAGCACAGCCTCCACAACACCTTCCCCTCTGCCGGCCTCACCTCCTGTGGAAACAGGAAGTGTATCTTTACCGACAGTCGCTTCAGCAACGACAACACAGTCAGTCACACCAGTTGCACCTTTCAGCACCAGTAAAACAACCCCACACATACCTCCAGAGACAACACCACCACCTGTTAGCACTGAGAGGATAACACACGTCATCTCTACTGACCTGACATCTTCTACGGTGCCTCCAGAGTTACCTACAACAACCGTCATGCATGCTGCACCAACTACAGCTGCTCCATCTGTCTCCACCTCAGCTACTACAGACTGGAGAACAACTACAAAGAGAGTCACCACACCTGAATCCACTGCATCTAAAACACCCGTTGCTGCAACAACGACAGCTGCACCTCCACCTCCAGAGATCACAGACTCCAAACCTGCTGCCACGTCCACAACCTACACTGAGAGAACCTCCTGGTCAGCGGCCGTCCCGCTAACAGAGAGAACCACCACTGTAACGTCAAGACCTCCAGAAGTAACGGAAACATCCACCGTGTCCACAGGTTCTCCAGTCACAACAGAACCGACCGTACCGCCAGTGTCCCCAACAGAGACCACTGCCGTACCAACGCCAACCCAGAGCTCCACCCGACCCGTCACTACAGAGCGGACCACCGAGCCATGGGTTCCCCCTCATCGAGAGACCTCCTCCACCCAGGTCTACAGACCCACAGTGGAGACAACACCAGAGGTCACTACTGACGCTGTCATCCACGTGGTGACTACGACTACAACAACTAAAGTCCCTCAACCTTCAGCTACATCAGAGCCGACCGTCACCTCAGCGACATCCACCACCACCACTGCCCACACTACAGCACCTCCTGAAATCTCAACTGCTGAAATCGAAGCCACCACAACCCGGAAACTAGTCACACCTCCACCTGTGCCTGCTACGCACCTCACCACGACCTCAACAAGAGCGCCACCTGCTGTCGTTACCACCGCGCTCCGGCCTGTCGTCATTCAACCCATCACAGAGACAATACATCCAGTGACGGGCAGAGTGCAGGTATCTACAAGCGCTACAACCACGTCACCTCCATCTTGGTCTCCGCTCCAGACGACAACCTCCACAGCAGCTCCGAGGCCAACAACTGCCCTGGACAAAGTCACCACCCGGCTGGTCTCCACTTCAAGAGCTTCACCCGCTGCAACAACGACCACCGTCTCACGAACAACCACCCTCAGGACGACACCCAGAGTTCCTCTGACGACCAGAGTGACCCCCAGAATCACATCAACCGAGAGGTCAACCACCAGGCCAGTCACTGCAAGGGTTACCGTAGCAACCAGGCCTTCAACAGTAACCACCAGCTCGACCACCCCCGGCTCACCGACCGTTACAACAAGTCCGACCAACACAACTACGTCAGGACCGACATCTACGACCGTCACAACGTCTACCAAGTCAGTCACCACAGCGAGCACAACGGAACCTTCCAACACGACCACAGCGTCCCGCCTCACCACCACAACCGGCCCAGTGCCTGTTCCTACTCTAACAACAGTCACGACATCTACAGCTGTCCCCACGGCAACCACCAGAGAGGCAACCACATCTGAGGAGACCTCGACAACGAAAGAGGCTGAAGTGTCGCCATCCAAACCTGTGACGCCTCCGCCTGACATCCTGACCTCCACCCAGGAGCCCAGTAGTTCCAGGCCTGCTACAACTTCACTCCCATCAGCCACCACTGTGGTACCAGACAGAGCAGATCACACCAGTCCAGGTGTGGCAACACCTCCAGTACCTACTTCTCCTCACAGACCAGTGGAAACTACCAGCCACACAGCGGAGGGAACCACGTCTCTGAGTGTGTCACCTACCAGGATGTGCACTGTGGGTTCACTTATTATACAGCCTCATTTCAGGTTTACAATTTAAACATACTGCTGGAAGGACAAGTCCCATAATTATGGAAGTTGCCACTCCAGAAAAAGATCAGTATTAAGTCATAATGTGAAAATGTTATAGTTATAACAAGATATGTTCATGCTGTAGCGATGACATACACACTTACCGTGTTATACCACGACACTTATCTCGTTATAACGTGAAAACTTTTGCATTAAAATGTGAAAACCTATATTGGTGAAACAGAAAACACATGTTTAAATAAGGAAACAGTGTGCAGAGAAATGAGAAATGGAATAATTTGGCTCAGTCAGGTTCAACTTTATGCTTGGGTTGAGACATGGTTAAATTCTGCTGGTATTAAGCACGATGGATGATATTATAATAATTATGTGCACACAAAGAAGGATTTTAAACTGCATGGGGCTGTACAGAAAGAAGAATGACCGCCTGAAGGCCTTGTTATGTCTCACTGATCAGTTAGAGGAGCGCTGAAGGCTTCATGGATGCGTAACTTATCACAATATCATCCACCGTGTTCAGTAACAACAGAATCTCATCACATCTCAACCCAAGAATGAACGAGAACTTAATCAAATCATGTCAACGATCATGTTTTCTCAACTTACTTGGCATTATTAGAAAATAAATTGTCTAGCTAAGACATGGAACGTTTAACGTTATACCAAGATAAATATCACATTGTTATAACAAGATGAAAGGCAACTTTTCATGTTATAACGTGAAACAGATTTATTTATTTTGCTGGTGTGGCAGAAATACCCTTCTGTTCATAATGACTTTATTTCTAGTTTCTGTTTTCTGACCCTTTAATGTTAATTCTGGCTTGTTTTTATTTATATGTGGACAAAACAAGCCAGACGGAACGTTTTTAAAGCTACATTTTAAAGTAAAAGCTCCAATTTATGCTTTTGTCAGGCAGCAGTCAATGTAAAATTTTCAGACAAGTTTAATGTATTTTATTAAGAAGTAGTAGCACAATATTCTAAATTAAATGTTCACTAATTAGGTTTTTGCAGATTTTTCAATCATGTCTGGAAAGTAAACAGAAAGCAAACTGAGAGCATTTTATGTTTCATCACAGTCTGTCAGGAACAACTCCTCTTGCTCAGTGTAAGAGTCAGTCAGTCATTTCAGTGAAGCCCGACGCGTTCGTCTTTCTTACATTCGTCTCTGCACTCTGTGACTCCTGGGTTTTCACTTTTTTCTCTTGTTTTCATCGTCAGCCTCCGTATGCGGAGATCGTTGACGAATGCACAAAGTACATCTGTGTCAACAACCAGCTCATCCTGTTCAACAAATCCCAGAGCTGCCCCTTCGCCGCCGATCCGCCAAACTGCGGTCTGCTTGGTTTTGCCATCCTGGTCAATGGAGACAAGTGCTGCCCTCAGTGGGACTGTCCATGTGAGGAAAACACACGAGTGAAACAAACAAAATGATGATCACGTCTCGTTCTGGTAGATTTTCATCGCCGTCTTTTCCGTGCGTTCCAGGTCGATGCTCGATGTTTCCTGATCTGAACGTGATCACGTTCGACGGGAACAGCGTCGCCATCTACAAGGCCGCCTCTTACATAGTGACCCAGCTGCCCAACGAGACCGTCAGCGTTCTGGTTCAGGAGTGTCCCGCCGACTCCGAGTCCTCGGTGAGTCTCCATCATTCCAGGTGTTTCTTTTGGCATTTTGGGCAAAAGTTGCCGATTTGTCTGTGATGGTAACAGACTTTCTTTTTTTCTTTACTGAAGCTTCTCTGGAATTTCACCAACCTGTGTCTGGTGGCGCTCAACATCACCCACAAGTCCAACCACATCGTCATCAACAGGCTGCAGAGGAGGGTAATAATAATAATGATGATAGTGATAACCTTGTTTATAGAGCACCTTTAAGAACAGCGCTCACTTTGACAGTCAAAACATGCAAACACAGAGACAATCAAATAAGACATTAGGCGTGACAAGACAAGGCAGAGCAGTCAAATAAAATAAATAATTAAAATGGCAATAATAAGTTGAATAGGACGCATATCAAACAAAGGAACAGTTTAAAAATTGAAGAATAAGACTGAAGATTAAAAGTTAGAATTAAAAAATCAGAAATTAAAGAATTGAAGACATCACACCAAAGAACGAGGCAGCTGAAAGGAACATAAAGCAAGAAAGAACATATAAAATAAACAGGTAAATAGTAGATAAATGCAGAATAGAACATTAACACTAATTAAGGCTAAGAGTGAACTTCACTTACAAGCAAGTCTGTAAAAGTAGGTTTTAAGAAAGAAAAAAGGAAGTTACTGACTCTGTCAGCCTCGTCTCCTCAAGCAGGTCACTCCAAAGTCGAGGGGCCCTGATGGAGATTTAAGCCTTGACTTTAAAACGACCAGACGGGATCCACCTGAGGATCTAAGGCAGGCGTGTCAAACTCATTTTAGTTCAGGGGCCACATACATAGATGTCAAGTTGGCCGGACCAGTAAAACGGTGGTTAATTTAGGAATAGCATTTTATTAAAAATTTCTAGTTTGTGTCTTTTATGCATTTTTTCACTGTCAAAATTCATCCTATGGGCCGGATTGAACCCCCTAGTGGGCCAGTTTTGGCCCGTGGGCCGGATTGAACCCCCTAGCTGGCCGGTTTTGGCCCGCGGGCCCTAAGTCTGACAGTCTGACACCCCTGATCTAAGGCCTAAACAGGCTCATTAGGGGTCAACAGATCGCAAATGTAGCTTGGGACGAGACCCTGGTGAGCTTTAAAGAAGTGAGAAGAAGTCTGATACTTACTCTTTGAGCTCAAAGTGCTCATGTAGCACGGACATGATTCCTCTTACAACACACCCTGTGCGTTTTTTTTTCAGCTCTACGTCAACTCACGATACGCCAAACCACGGTTCAAAAAGTACGGCTTCGAGATCTACGACACAGGAAACATGTACCTCATCCGCAGCCCGTCCGGCCTCAAGCTGCAGTGGTACCACAGCACCGGCATGATGGTGATCGACACCGACAGCTCCAGCAACAAGCTGCCCACCATGGGCCTCTGTGGTAAGAACACTTCTAGATTCTTTCTACACAGCAGTGCACATGAACAGGGCGGCCACACAGAGGAGATTCAGTTACTTTTTAACCCCCACATAGTGTTTCAGGTCAAGTTTGACCCGTTTTGACATCTGACAGCAGCAAAAACACACTAAACGTCTTTTGACTTTTCCTCAAAGTGACCCAAAATACACAAAAATTATAATATTTTGAAATGTTCTGCTTTTGTACAGCATCTGCACACTTTTTTGACATATTGCCACTCAGTGTTTGTGACTGTAAATGCGATAACACTGAGAAGAACTCGAGCACATTTGGTTGCTGCCCCAGTGAAGCTTAGAGGCGTCGTTACCAAACTCATGCTGATGCTGGCTTTTACTGTGGCGCCCCATTAGTTTGAAAGAGAAGATCCATTCTGTCACATTCAAGGAGACATACATGATGTTTGTGAATTCTCCTCCTTCACCCTCTTCAGGCTTCTGTGACGGAGACCCGACCAACGACCTGACTCTGGCCAACGGCACCACGGTGGGCGTGAGCGAGGACCCGGCTCTGTTCATCGACAGCTGGCAGGTTCCCAACACCACCAGCTACGTCAGCCACAGCCGCCGCCGCGAGCTCAACTGCTCCACCAGCGACTGCTCCAGCTGCCTGCTCATGCTGCAGAACCACGCCTTCATCCCCTGCCACGCCTTCGTACGTTCACCTCTGAAGCCACTCTCACTGTTTACAGAGGACCCAGTATCTCTGAAAGCCAGAGACGACTCAGAATCCACTTTATTATTCTATCTTTGTGTTTTTTTGCTTTTCCTTTCTCACTTCAGTAAAGGAAAATGTTTTACAAAAGACTTTGAACTGTGGGTGAAGGAAAGATTGTGAATGACTGATGCTGATGAAGAATCCTGAGGCCATCGCTGGATTCAGACATGTATTAACAGTAATAATGAGCAGTTTTGACTAACTCCTGTATTGTTTCCAGGTCCCACCCAGCACGTTTTGTGAGGTTTGGGTTCGCGACGCCGAGTACGTCAACAACCAGTGTGTTGCTCTGGCTGCTTACGTGGCTTCCTGCCATAAATTCAACATCTGCATCGAGTGGAGGAGTCCAGATTACTGCCGTAAGACTTCTGTCTGCTGTTAATTCATTCAAACGCTCACCACGAGTGTTGGGAAGACGTTGTAGAATCAGAATCAGCTTTAATGGCCAAGTACGTACACAACATACAAGGAATTTGGTTTCGGCTGTTGGTGTCGCCCCAGGAATTTGCACGAATAATAGAAATAGGAAAATTAAACAATAAAATAAAATAAAGTAAAATAACTAAAGAAAGAAAAGAATAAAATACAATAAATATTAATAAGAAATAAAATAAGATAATAAGACAAATATATACAAGAATTTACACATCTAGTAGAAAAAGGTATATGTACATTAGTGCAAAATAGAAGTGCAAATAGTTGTAGTGTAGATTAAATACTCTAAATGTTCTTTAGTGTCAAGATAAAAAATCAGAAGAGATTTTTAAAAAAAAATCTCTCCAAACCGAGGCATCCTTGGATTAAAATGTCTTTATCATATGGACATGTTAGAAAGAAGCCGACATGTAGTAGTGACTTTTTTTTGCTGTTTTTCTCAACTCACAGGTGATTTTTTTGAGCAGGACGCAAGTATTTTAATGTAAAGATGAAGCTTAATCTCCTTCATGAATAAAATAAATCGACAAACATTTGGTTAGATATCAATAATATGTCAGGGACTGTTTTAACCTACTTAAGACACATTCTGACAGGTAATAGGTTCTCAAAATCTCAACTTGTGACCCGCAGCTGGTCAGCAGGCAGGTGTATTGTTACAAAAACAAGGCAAAGTGCTGTACTGTGTTTAATACAAGGTAAGAGAAACACAACAGCATGAGAAGACATACTTAGCGAACACCTATGTGTGTGTGTGTGTGCAGGATCTTAGGTTAAAGCTTTATGTATCGTTTCTTTGAATAAAACTAAAAATGTGCATAAAACAATGGCGTGCGTTTTCACCCAAGCTGCCCCATCTTGCATTTCCATTCAGCACAATCCAGACACCATTGTTCTTATTTGAAAGTCTAAACTAATGTTTGCAGGTAACCTTTTTGTGTCTCTTCCTGCAGCCTTCGTGTGTCCCGACACTCTTCGGTATCAGGCCTGTCTGCCGGCCTGCACCTCTCAGTCCTGCCCGAACCACGACTTCGATTCAGACCCGGACCAGTGTTCAGGTCTGACCGAGGGCTGCGTCTGCCCCGAAGGAACGCTCCTCCATCGGCCGTACTCAGCACTCTGCATCCCTCCAGACAAATGCGGTAAGAGCCAGTTTACAGGGCGATCTTAAAAAAAACGATCTCAAACATTTATCTTTTTGATGGTTCTTTGAGATATTGTTGACTGAACATGGACTCAAATTTCAAAGTGTGAAAAACTTTCTAACATTGGCTCAAAAGGCAATTTAGAAATATATATATATATATATATCTCTGAAAGTATTTGATACATCAAGCTCAAATTTCCCAAATAGCTTTCCAAATATTCATATTTTATGCTATAAAAAATTCTGCCAAATCAGGGATGATTCAGCAAAAAATGGTTTAAAAAAAGGGACGATATGAGATGGATTGATCCTGGTGGAGAGTTGCTGGAAACTTGCACAGTTTTCTTTACCATTTATCTAAATATGATGTTATTTAGATAAATAATAATCTAGTTTATTTCTTTACTCTTCAACGTTTACCTTATTTTTAATATTTAGTTGTTTCTTTGCTGATTACTGTCCACAGATAGCTAGAATCTACTGGAGTCAAACTCCTTGTTCAAGTTGATTTTGATTCTGATATCTTGGCTGTACATGTGCAAAGCATGTATGTATCAACTAATTGCTGACTTTATTTAACTTTTTAGTAGTTTCCGTCGCTGAATGCAAACAAGAGTTCTTTGCAAATGAGTGAGAAAAACAGAGGATTTAAAATATTGAGGCGAATGCATAGAAGCAACAAGAACCATGAAAGCATAATTATGAGACACGACATGAAAGTCAGGCTAAACTGTGAAAAAATCTAGATTTATACAACATCTGTCAGATCTAGGAGGAGCTTCTGAGAGACAGTCAGGTGCAAGATTGTGTATTTAAGATAAGATAAGATAAGATATGCCTTTATTTATCTCACAGTGGAGAAATTCACATCGTTGATAGCAGCATTCAACAGAGGTACACATATACGAAATATACGATTTCTGATCCAAACGAAACAGGTGTAACGAGTGCTTACCTTGTAGTATTTGTCAGCGCTGATTCGGCAGAAAGAAGAACAGTAAAGAGGAAACACTGCTGGTTAGAAAAGACAAATAGCCTTGTTGTCAAAATGTTGATCAAATGAAGGTTTTTGTGAAATCATGCACAAGTCATAAATCTCACACTTCCTTCTTCTTAACCCGAGTCCCCGTTTGATCCATACTCCTGTTTCATCCTGTAACACATTTAACACATTCAGTGTCATCTGAGCGATTACATCTAAACCTCAGCGTCTGTCCGTCCTCAGCCTGCACCGACAGCTCCGGCCTTCCTCGGTCGCATGGCGAGGTCTGGAAAGCCTCGAAGGACGCCTGCTGCATGTACCGCTGTGACAACGACACCATCGTTCCTGTGGAGTACAACTGCTCCAGCATGGCGGCGCCGGTGTGCCGTCGATCCGGGGAGGTGATCATCAGCCTGGCCGACGATAACAGCTGCTGCCCGCAGAAAGTCTGCGGTGAGGCCACCAGAGTGTTTTAGTCTAAAATATATGCACCTGAATCTACAAATTAAATTAAATTTCAAAACAACGATAATGAGATGATGCATTTTGTGACTGTGCAGTGTGTAACCAGAGCCTGTGTGACCAGCTGCCTCCTGAGTGTAAATATGGAGAGAAGCTGGTGTCGTACTACCGACTAGACTCCTGCTGTCCGGACTACGTCTGTGGTGAGTTTCCATCTGAACGTCACGGTCTGCACTCTCTGAACAAAAGATTCTCTCGTTGGCTGACACAGACTCATTAATTACAACTGTCATATCCGATGGGAGAGTTTAGTTGTGGCTTTGTCTCTAACAGCTGCTGCAGATGTGTTTTATAGGCCAATTACAGTTCAGCGAGCCGACTGTTGTTGTTTTCTCTAATTGTTAAAACACGTTTCTGCTCAGTGTGAATACAGCTGGACGAGATGCAAAACTAAGGCAGCTGTGGTTTAGGTGGCAGAGTGGTTGTCCTCTGATCGCAAGGCTGGCGGTTCAATCTACAGTCGAAGTGTCCTTGGGCAAGACACTGAACCCGATGTTGCTCCCAATGGCAGGCAGCACCTTGCACGGCAGCTCTGTCACCATTGGTGTATAAATGTTGTATCTACTCTCAGATGTACGTCGCTTTGGATAAAAGCGTCTGTTAAAGGAAATAGTAGATTGTAGAAAACTACATGTCTCAGTCCCTATTTCCATTTCGTTTACGACTGCTTCCTTCTTCTGTGATGGTTTAGTTTCACCAGCTGAAACTACTCCGGTACGACTTTAAAACAGGACGATGACCTTAAGCATACCTCAAAGGCCACCAAGGGTTGACTTTAGAAAAGTCCTGGAAGATATCAGAGTGGCCATCACAATGGCCTCAATTGAATCCCATAGAAGATCTTTGGTGGGATATGAAGGAGGCTGTTGCAGCACACAAAGCCAAGAATATTAGAGGCTATTGCCTGTGAGGACCGGGCTAAGATGATGCATCACGTTTGCAGCAGGTCATGGCAGCAAAAAGTTGCTCTGCTAACTACTAAAGGTGCTTGTTAGGAAGGGGTTAAACAATTTTGAGACAGCAGCAGTCATTAAAAGTGGCGCACTGTGTTGAATTTGGAGAAACCACCTGTCATACTGGTTGTGTTGAGCTATTTAAATTGTTCTAGTTTTAGTATTTCTGTTGCTCTGTTTTTCAGAATGTGATCCTGAACTCTGTGAGTCGGACGTTCCCACCTGCAGAGACGACCAGACGCTGATCGCCACCAGAGCTGACGGCAGCTGCTGCCTGGCCCACATCTGCAGTCAGTTCATTACATTAATTCTACTTTCTGTGGCACGTCGAACCATCGGCGAACCACCTGCGGGTTAATTTAGCGTTTGGCTAACGAAGTGTGCGTTTCCTGCAGTGTGTTCGTCCTGTGTGGAGGCGCCTCCTCTCTGCCGGGACGGAGAAGTGTTGACGGTCGACAGCAACACCACGGATCGCTGCTGTCCGACCTACCAATGTGGTCAGAGCACACCTACACACTCACCTTTACTGTGTTTAAATAAAAAAAAAAACCTCACTGCATTTTTCTCTTATTTCTTACATATAATTATGGGGAACTGGGTAACACTTTATAATAACTATCCGTTATAACTAGTTAATAGATCATTTGCAAACTGCTAACTAGTGAGTTATTAACCACTTGTTAAGTGTTTGTTAATAGTTTGTTGATGATTTATAACGATCCTTATAGATAGTTAATAAACCATTTACAAACTGTTAGTTAATGAGTTATAAATGACTTGTTAGCTGTATATTAATGATTTACAGCCATACCTTATAAACCAGTCATAGATCATGAACAAGCCATTAGTGAATTACTTACTAATGACTTGTTAAGTATCAGTTAATAGTTTATGTATGTTATTGGGACGTTATCATTAATATACAGTTAACAAATCATTTATAACTCATTAACTAACAGTTTGTAAATGTTTATTAACTATAAGGCATCGTTATAAATCATCAACAAAGTATTAACAAACACTTAACAAGTGGTTAATAACTCACTAATTAACAGTTTACAAATGATCTATTAACTAGTTATAACGGAGAGTTATTATAAAGTGTTACCGGGAACTGTTTTTTTCAATAAAAGTTATAAAAGAGAAACACACAAAGAGCACACTCCCAAATACAACTGGAAATATTTCAGACTTATACCAATATTTACATATGATCATGATATGCTGGCCTGTATTTATTTAAATACATCAGAAATTTGGTCATTTAAAATTTCGATTAATTAATCAATTGCTTCCTTCTGTCGTGCTTGCTGCCATAAAACATTGTAATAGAGACACTTTTCTAAATGATGCTAACATGCAGTATGTTGAGCTTTACTTCAGTTTCTTTTATCTAAATCAAAACTGTGTGACTCTTGAGCAGCTACCAACACATTTTGACTGCCTCGTTCTTGCTTTACACAGTATGTGAGCCCTCCAGGTGTCCTCAGCTCAGCTGTCCCGTCGGCATGTCGGTGGCGTCGGTGTCGAGTCCGAGTCGCTGCTGTCCGAACCAAACATGCGGTATGACTCGTTTTCACGCTAATTCAAAGGCGCAGCTTGCTTTTGTTTTCCACTCGGATTAAGATGTGTTTTCTGTTTTTCAGAGTGCTCCTGTGAAAAGATCGCCTCCCCGAAATGTGGCCTGGTACGTCCTGACTGTAAACATTCGGCCCGTGTGTTTTTTATAAATGTGTGGAGACCTTAGAGGGTATTTGTGTGAACAAAAGGCAAAAAAAGTGACAACAAAATCTTTTTTAGAGTCAAAAATATGCCTGTTCTCAGTTTGATTTATACTATGCTCTCTGTACACATGTCAGTTGTGTTTTTAATGCGTTTACGAGGTTCTGTGTGCGTCCTGCAGGGAGAGGCTGCTCAGCTGGACCGGGCCTTTCTGTCCGACCCACAGAACCAGTGCGCCTGCAAAAGATACAAGTGTGGTGAGTTCAGTCGGGAAATTTAAATTAGAGAAACTAACACCTCAAATTAAAATTGTATTAATTGTCACCAAGCCACTGAGTACACACTGGAAAAGTTAGTTTATTGTCATTATTTTCAGCTTTGGTACATCTAAGAATGTGTGAAAATAATTTAATGCTTTTTGTTATTATTCATTTATTGGAAAGATTGTCGTTTATGTTGTGTTTGATCAGTGTTTAACAAAAGAAGAAGCTATTTTCACCAGTGCAGCCTTGTATCCTGTGACCTCTGACCTCTGCTGTGTGTGTGTGTGTGTGTGTGTGTGTGTGTGTGTGTGTGTGTTCAGTGCGCGAGGCGGTGTGTGTGTTTGGCGAGCGAGGCGTATTGCGTCCGGGTCAGACGCTGGTCGAACACGGAGATGACGGTTTGTGTCACAGCCGTCAGTGCAGCCGCAGCCTCGACCCGGCGAGCGGCTTCCACCTGCTGAGAACCTCCAGCATCAACTGCTCTGCCAACTGCCAGCCGGTGAGACCACGACGCACCAGGACTCTGGTCTGTCTGCAGAGTCCCTCTCGTACCGCTTCTCCAGGCTCCAGACCATAGACTGTATAAAAGATGGACGTAGCTGCCGTGACGTCACCTGTTGGTTTCTGCACTGAGAAAATGAAGCCAGGGTTTTGCTACTTCCTGGTTGACATTTTTGGAGATAGTGATGCAAAAAATCGTCGGAGGGGGGCGGAGCCATAGGAGCAGCGATTGGTCAGACAGATTGAGAGGCGGGCCCTCTCTGCCCGCCCACATTTACCGCCTTCTGCTCGCTTCATCTGTATGGTCGCTGCTGACTGTCAATCAAGCCAGCCACGCCCCTTGCCCCGCAAAATGTTGATGATTTTTTTAAAATTCAGTGTTGATTTATTTTTAGATTGGCCACCTGATCTCTGGACTTGACCATGAAAACGAACTTTTTAAAAATCCTGAGCTGTAGGAATGCAGTATTTCATGATCTGTGATCACTTCTTTTCCAATTCATTTCTATGGGAGCCAGGGCTTTTTGGAGCCAGGACTAGTGGACGTAGTGATATTGCAGGTTTTTGACACTTCCGGGTTGGCTTCATTTTTCGGGGCCGGTTGCTACGTCCATCTTTTATACAGTCTATGCTCCAGACTAACTTCTTCAGTGGTGCCACCAACTATATCTGCACATGATTTGGTCGCTCACTCTCTTTATTTTGCGTCATTAATCCACCGTGCATGCTGGAGAAAAATCCATTTCTTAGAGTGGATTTCATTTTAAACATCAATTCTGCAGTCAATCATGTTCATTTAAATGTAGGAATAATAATAGTAACAGTAATAATAATAATAACAGGTAAAATAATAGGAAACCAAAATTGTGATCGCTGCTAATATTTGTTTAAATTTTCAGCTCAAGCATCGCATTAGCCATCGTGATTGACTGTAGATCTTTTTCTTCTTCACTGACTCAGTCGAAATCTTCCAAGCTAACTCCTCATTTTGCTTTTGTTTTTAAAAACAATCAGCTGCAGATCATTTCATCATTGCAGCGCAGAAACAGATAAATGGATTGTTTCACATGTCAGGCAGCAGGCTACTACCGCTTTCAACCACAATGCTAATGCAGAGGCTTCCTGCGCTGACTAGAGAGGCACCAAATCAGCATAATGATCAACATGCACATAACAAATGAGAAATTTTAGCTTGTACACTCCAGAAAGTTTGCATTTTGGTTGCAGTCTGGAGCCCTGACACCAATCCACCCACACACTATGGCTTTAGGTGAATGAGACATCTGGACTGATGAACCTGATGTGGATAGCGAGTACGAGTAGACCTTATAATGAACAGGGTAAGAAATTCAAAGTATTTATAGTAAATTTGTCCTGAAAATAGTGTCTTTGTGTCGTTCAGAATCAGATCTACGTGCCTCCCAAAGACCAGTCGACATGCTGCGGCGTCTGTAAGAACATTTCATGTCTCTATGAGCATGAAAATGGAACGATGGGGGTCTATAAGGTAGGAAAAGCCGTGGTTCTGCTGTAACATACACAATATATTCTGTTTATCTAACTCACCTTGTTTTGAAGCAAGTTTCTATCAGAAGCAAATTTTTATTTCTGTCACTTTGCTGCCATTTTTAGAAACCATTTTACAAATTTTTACTTATTTTAATCTCAGTTCAACACAGTCTGTGATGAATTACATCAACTGGATTTACAAAATAGTATCAGTTTGATTCATCGGAGTTTAAATGTAAAAGTACTTGCTGGTGAATCTGCTCATGTGTCATTATTGTGGTCAGTGAACCTGTTTTCACTCCACGTTGGCGTAAGTCAGCCTGAGTTCAGCGTCTGATGTTGTCGATGTTTTCAGCCGGGAAAGTCCTGGGTGTCGAACTGCATGAAGTTCGACTGCACCGACACTCTGTCCGGACCGACGCTCATCTCCTACTCCTTCAGCTGCCCCCCCTTCAACGAAACCGAGTGTATGAAGGTCAGCAACACACAAAGACACACACCTATCACGCAGACAATTAATCCTTAAAGATTCCATGAAATTACTTTTAAATCAATGCTTTTCCCCCCCCATACTAGTTAGTCTGGAGCTGTAGTGAGAGGCTCCCTGCAAATGTCAAACAATGTGACAGAAGAAGTAGTTTTCCTGTGACTTTTTTGTGCTGTTTGATGCTGTTTATGGTCCCTGATTGGCTTAATAGTGTCATTAAAGCGAGGATATACAGCACAAATACATTTAATCCTCACCTGTGTGCTTTATACATAAGCAGCTTATTAACTAGATCGCAGTAAATACAGTTTTTGAGACAGTATAAACGTTTTAATCTAAAAAGAGGTAGTTGCAGCTTTTATGGAAAAGTGAGCAGGGGCTTGTTTCAACATGACATGTTCAGATCAAACACAGAAGACAGAAACTGCTTTCCCTCATGTCTGTCTCAACATTTTTGACTTTCTGCACTCAGATCGGAGGAACCGTCGTAAGTTACATGGACGGATGCTGCAAGACGTGTGAGTATCTGATCTGAGCGTAGCAGCAGTTCTGTAGCTAGCGTAGCGCTGTAGGCTGCAGCTGACACTGAAGAGCGCCTTCACCTGCCGCTCAACATGTTTCCAACATGTTTGCCCTTCAGTTTGTCCGTTTCAGTCCAAAATCCTCCATCACGTTGTCTCAATTGGCTCACGTCTGGATCCCTGTTGTTGCTGTTGTTTTCTGTTACATTTGTCTGCTGTTTATTCAGATTAGAAAAGATCCGTCAACGTGCTTTTCAGTGAACTCAGTCTTACTCGGTAAAAAAAATGAGGAGCTTTTCAAAGTGCCAAATGACAGAAGTACCCGTCACTGAAAAGCATCTGACGACATGCAAGTGGGTTTGTGGTTTATGTGCTGCAGCTTACCATCATGTACCAATCCCACCAGGTACTGGATTCCCTCTGTTCCCCTTCCCCGTTAGCCCCTTGACTCCCACAGTTAACACAAACTGTGAAAGAGGTACCACAACAACAAGGCTTGTCAGTGCCATTGTTGATATTCAACAATGTACTCCCTCCAAAATATAACAAATAAAACACACAGGAAACCCCAAAAAACTCTGACTGCTACCTGCTCCCCTCTGCAGAAACGTCCTCTCAACTGCTGCTCATTTCAGGTCCAAAACAGACAAAAACCAAAACTAATTTAAACCCTCACATGTTTAATTAAAGGTGTTAGAATAATTTGACACCTTTATAAGAGGCGGGGAAACACAATTTATGTAGGCCCCCCAAAAAATGGCGTGACACTTGAGAGGACAGGACCATGTACTCAGCCCTGCCCCTCCTTGTGGACCACGTACATGTACACAACAGATAAACTCCTTCCCCATTTAGCACTGTCTGGGCAGTGCATTGTTGATTGCCAACAATGTACTGTTGGTAGTGGCCCAGTAGTCGGGCTTAGATGTCTGCATGTGTCAGTAGAAACCGATGTGGGTGGTCTGGTGTCGGGGCTCTTTTCATCCATCATGTAGCTGCTGTAGAAGATCTGCTGCAGCACTGCAGGGGGCGCTGTGGGGAAACTGAAGATGGTACGTGTGGCATTTTACTAGAATCATCAAAATCAGATCTGGTGGCAGGATTAGTCAGACCTAGGCCTGTTCCATCTGCTCCATATGTTGGCTATAGTTCTGCAGATATATAACTGTATTCAAAATTAAAATAAGTTTAATTTTATTCATTTTGAACAGCGAGTATAACCAGTAGATTGCTGCTGTTGGCATTTGTTAGCTCAGAATTTGCAGCAGTGACGCCAAAAAAAAAAAAAAAAAAAATGCATTCAGTACCCAGGCGTCCAGAATAGCGTCGTACACTGGCTGCACAGGTGAACCTACCTGTTTCATTCGATGCTAAATGATGTATTTAAGGGTTTCTTTTTTTCGTCAGTTCCCATACAGATTGTGTAAAGGACTGTAAACAGTAACAAAGGTGCAGAAAAATCATTTTGTACATGGATGATCTGAGACTTAAGGTAGCTCTTCTTGGATCATGTTATGAGCAGTGGTACATGTCATCATCGTTTCTGAATCCTCACTGCTTTGGCTAAGTGATGTGAGAAGGACCATGCACCTGTCAGGACATAAGACAAGTCTGTGTTAGTGTTTCAGTTCAGAATGTTGAAGCTTCGGCAGAAAAACCTCAGGGCCATGCTTTGATCACAGTCTTTGTAATAAATGTGATCCATAATGTTGGCCATTTTATCCAGGATGTTCCTATCTGCTCCCAGAGATCCAGATTGAGGCCAGTTAAAGTATTTTTTACTTGATTGGAGCCTGAAGCCAGTCCTTTGTTTACTTCTGCTTTCAACTGGTTTTGTAGAGACAGAACACAATTGGTGGCAGGACATCAAGGATGCCAGTTTTTAATACATTTGCGAATCAATTATGAGTTATTTCAGTCAACGGACATGATTTGAACTCTGTTACATATGTCACTGGGAGACAGGAAACCTGTCCTCTTCAGTCCAGTTTGTCTTGAACACATAAGCTCCCACTGAAGGTCATTAAGCATCACTACAGCCTCTGTCATGGTGCTTTCACTGCTTGCAGTCTGAGTGAGCACAGAACTAACCAGTAAGTGCAAGAACAACCAGGTGCTTCAGCTGATCTAAAATACATTTTCTGACATACATGGAGAGAAAACAGGTGTAGAGTTTGTGGAGACCCAGTCCATCCTATCCTCTCCACATTATATTTCAAATGGTGTCCTACCAAAGCTTTACAACAAGGTTTGTGACCACCTGTGTACCGTTAAGGAACATCACCGAGCCAGTGGTTCAGCAGGAATGTATTCTGTTAAACAAACTGCTCCACTTTCCCAAGGACTCAGAAAAGGAATCCAGGTCCGCTGATTAAAAAACAAATCCTGTATTAATTGTTAAAATATATTTAAATAGAAAGCCCCAAACACACATGTTCACATATAATTCATAAAAGAAACAGAAAATAAATAAGAATAATAGACAAACAAATGCTAAAACAAATGATTTAAATGCTAAAATGTAAAGTGCTTCAAAGATTTAAAAAAAAATATACATGTGCACATATAGCAGGAATCTCAAACATTGTGATAAAAACAACAAGTTTAAAATAATATGTAGACATATATTAATGTAGGTTACATTTATAAATTCTGACTAAAAACCAGGATCTTAATAACAACAGAACTAGAAAAGAAAAGGAGCATGAGACATCTGTAGTCATTCCTTGAAACCTTTATTAACCCTATTCAGGACTTTTGGGGTCTTTTGGACTCCAGGCCATTTGGTTTAGGTGACAGGTATTGGTTGTTTTTTTTTTTGAAGATTTCTTTTTTAAAAATAAAAAGGAACACTTGTCATGCATTCGGAACCAAATATACGTCAACTTATCCGAAAGTCTATGATGAATACCAAATTATATTTTGCACTCCAGTGGACCCTGGTAGACCTCCTCGGTGTGGCAACATGAAAGTCCTGAATAGGGTTAATGGAGTTCATTATGACTATTTCCACTCCCGTGACCCATTACCTAACTGAGGGAAATGACCTGGATCATAACAGCTGGTGTAATTCTCTGAACGCTGAGGAAAGATGCACTGCTTCTTCCTTTTCTTATCTCCTTTAGCAGAGGACACACTGGTCCATCCTTCATGAAAGGAGATGATTCCTTGTGGCAGTAATGTTTAAAGCAACATCCCATCCACATCACATTATTTTGTCGCCCAGTTTTCGTGCTGTCCAGTTTTCCGAATGTCTTTTCCTAAGTGATCATGAATTCTTCTTTGCTCGACACTTTTTGCTCGAGGTTCTCCATCGAGGTCAAGGGTTTAGAAAAAAATCAGCGTTTAAAATCAACATATGTCTGGAAAAGAAGATGACTTTGAAGTGTTGTAGGTGGACCACTAAAGCTGCTGACTTTCTCATATCGCTCATGTGCTTAAATATATTGACATCATAGTGCAAGAATTCACCAAACTGATAACTGACAGATGGAGACCAAGATCATTTATTAGTCATCTCACACAGCATCATGTTGAATGCACTTACACCATCGTTGCTGCTGCTCAGTTTAAAGGAGCTGTTTAGGTCTGAATTCTGCAACTTCTTCACTGTTTTTGTTTTTGTGTCTAATTGCAACAACAAGATTTTTACCGCAGCGCTGATTCGGGTAACAGATTAAAGAAAGACGACGGTTGATCTGAAGCAGCAGGGGAGATATATTTACTTTCATTTCTTAGTGAGGGTCTAGTTTCATTAACATGTTTGAAACTTCACACCTCTGGAGTATATTTAGAGATTTGTTGTGTGGAAGCCCAGCGGAGGGACACCGGTCACACTGTCAGGGTTACTTTCTTTATAAATCACCTCCACAGCTACAGAAGATCTTATAAAACAGTTGTCACGGGTCACAAAGAAGAAAACTGATCTCCATGTGTATAATCGTTGAAATGCCGCACATAGCATCTTTATGTTTGTGCTCTGTGTGTGTGTGTGTGTGTGTGTGTGTGTGTGTTGATGGGACATTTTCTGGTTTTGTGTATTTAAAATATCAAAATGTTAAACCAGATTTGTTTGAGGTCGTTTCATGTGCAGGATAAATGCATGACGGAGCTTATCATTCCAACATTTGTTGAATGTTTTTGTTGGGTCTCATTTCTTCCTTATTACTGAGTGATAAGTTTTCTCCTTTATGCTTTCTAGCTATAAAGATGTTGTATAAAAAAAAATCCCTGATTTTTTTTTTCTTAATCTAAAGCTGCTTCTGCATGATTGACAGCTTCAGTCATCTTCTTCTCCTTACTGCTGTTCTGACATTTGGGGTTTTTCGTGCCGCCTTTGTTCCGATGAATTTCTTTTTTTGGTCTGTTGTCGTGTAAACAGGCAAAGAAGATGGAAAGTCTTGTCAGAAGGTGACGGTGAGGATGACGATCAGGAAGAACGACTGCCGCAGCAACAGACCAGTGAGTTTAATGTCTGTTTTTCTGTTGTTTTCGTGTCAGGGTCCTTTTTTACCCATGCAATCACAACAACAGCTGCAAAGTAAAATGTCTCGGGACTGCGTGTGCATCTCCACCTGCTAGGTTGGTTTATGGAGGTGCAACAGTGAAGGATGCTAAAGGTTTGGATGAAGGTGAACATAAACTGGAGTGTGTAGTGATTTTTAATTTACTCTCAGCTGGCAACATCAGTGGTCTGACTGCTCTGAAACAGCTCAATAACAGGAAAGCATGTTCATGAGATCATTTGTATGACTGCATCATTTGTCACAAATGGTCACATTATACCTTAAAGAGTAACACAACAGCAATTGATGGGGTCATTTTGTAGTACCTTGGTGTCTTTTGCACTTGATTTAATAAAGACAAAGGTTGTGGACAGCAGGACCTCTCAAATCAGAATGTTGTCCTGCTGCAGAGATTTAAATGTTATTATTTACTGGGTTATAATAAAAAAAAAAATGGAGGTGTACTGGAGTATGGCTGTTTTTCTCACACTCATGCTGGGCATTGCTGCAGCACCTCCTCTCAACTTCTGTCTAAAAAGCACCGGTTTAGTTCCTGTGTCTTTAAATCCCCTCTTCTGAAAAGGCTCAGTGAGGCAACACCAGCACTGTAACCCCAGATTCAGGTGCATAGAGCTGTTTGCTACTTCACACAACACACAAAACTCTGGTCTGTGGCCGACCGATGACAGCTAAGATTAACCACAAGGATTCTACAGTTGTTGTGTACCATTAAAAATAGAGGTCATCTGCTGGACTCAGGTGATGGGAGCGCATGAAGACTGTTGTGTTCACTTTGGCAACCAACAACAAAACACTTACTGTGCTTGGCTCATGGCTGAGACATTTTAATGTCAGCAAAAGCTACTCTGGAGGTCGTGCTAATGTAGCTGCTCGTCAGGCGTTATGCAAATAGTGATGTAGGTAAGTAACAGAAGAGGAGTCTGGACTTGAAATGAGACTATTTTGTGGAAGAGAATAATTGACTCTGGTTTGGATTTTTCCGGTTTGCAGACTTTTACATACATAAAAAAAGCAGAATATGGGCTCCTTAACCAAAGGGGTTAGATATATTATAAATCTACTTGAATCACAGTTCTTTTCCAGCCCTGCTCTGCTGACTCTTTACGTCCTGCAGGTGAACATCGTGTCATGTGACGGGAAGTGTCCGTCCGCCAGCATCTACAACTACAACATCAACACGTACGCTCGCTTCTGCAAGTGCTGCCGGGAAACGGGGCTGCAGCGGCGCTCGGTGCAGCTCTACTGCAGCGGCAACGCAACCTGGGTCAGCTACACCATCCAGGAGCCCACCGACTGCTCCTGCCAGTGGTCCTAAACACACACTCAGCTCAAATACAAACACACACAGTGTTCAGATCTGCAAAACCACAAGATGTAGAAGAAGAACGTCGGCCATGTTGGTTTAGGGCTTTAGGATGATGGGAGGCTGTGATTAGCAGGATGCAGGACGTGTGAGGGACTCCGCTGGCAGTAAATTATCACATAGTAGGTCGTTGTGGTGCCTCTGCTGGCAGGGAGGTGGTACTGCAGAAGAGCAGCTACAAACAAGGTATTTACCTTCCCAGCAGTCATTTTAGTACACAAACAACAAATTTCTGTTTCCTGCACACTAAGTGCTTCTGTGCTGACTCGTGTAGAAGCTACAATAACAAAAGAGGGAGCTGCATGTTAAAAATACAGAAATCAGGTCCTTAAAAGTCTTAAAACATTAATTTCAAGTCCTCAAAAAAATAGCCTCTGTAAGGTATTAAAAAGTCTTACTTACAAACGTAATTTTAAAGGTCTTAAACCTTTTTCTAGCCTGATATCAGTTGTAAAAGTTAGTTATGTTTCTGTAAATTACACAAAGGACCTTAAATGAATCTGTTATATTTTTAATCCATCCATCCATTTTCCAGTAAGAAACTATTATTAGATATTTTTGTGAAAATACTCATTATAAGCATAGTTTGCTTCATGCTGTCACAAAAAAAACAGATTTCTTTTCAGCTTATTAGAGTTATTTCACATGTTTGGACATAATTCATGACTAAACACATTTCCCTGTTGGGTTATTGATAAATTAACACCTTTAAAGTCCACTGAGTTAAACCTTCTGCCTTGTTGCCTCTCTGCCCTACCACCTCCCCGCCGGCCTGCAGAGGAAAGAAAATGTTCACTGAAGGAAAAAGTAAAGTTGTTTGTCATTTTCTCTGCTTGTCCTCTCAGAGCGACTCTGAGCTGCCAAGACACAAAACAATACATATTTTAGAAAAGGTTTTCTAAAAAAGGGACGAATTCCTCATGTTGTGCCTTGTTTTTTGTAAATACCTAAACTCCCTGCCTTCCTACAATAATTTTCAATATCAAATTTTTTTAGATATCTCACTTTTAGAAAAGACGACAATAAAGTGTATATTCAGCGATGTGAAATAAACTTTCTATAATCAACACTAGTGAGGCGTATTAACTGATTTAAATCCAGCTGTATGTGGAGCACTTTATTTATTTATTGGAGTTTGATAGCCGAAAACAGTACGAGAAGAGACGCATTCGACCCAACTGGAGAGCAAACAAACACAACCGGAACCAAAACTCTGATTTTATTCCCGAGTACAGAGCAGAGAGCGTATTAGGAGAACACGGCGGCGTGTTGTAGATGCATGTTTTCTCTGTGGACTAAATTCTTAACGTGTTACCAACAGACTCACCTGGATAGTCGAGTTAAAGAGGATTTTGTATCATACAAGTGTACATTTGCATTTTCAATAAATATTTCTTTTGAAACCTAATCGTGGTTCGCTCTGATTATTGGCTGACAGGGCGGTGGGCAGGGGCCGGTTTCATAAAGCGAGTTCACCCAATAAGCCAGGATTATGTTAGTTAGTCTGACTTAATGTTATTTTGGTTACATGAAGCAAATTCAAATGAGTTCAAGCTCAGTTAATTTGTCAATTATTCTCTGACGCGCTGCATAATATTTGACTTCAATAACTAATAACAGTTTCAAAAATGACATTTACAGAAAATGTATTTGACTAAAACATGAATATATATATGAATATTTATAAAGATGTTTGTGAAATTTTACCAGCATATATGATTTATTTTTTTTATTGCCTGTCGACTCACTTTCCGCACATTTCCCCCACATTAAAAAATATATATATATATGGATTATTGCAATAATAATTTAGATTCGATTCTGAATCAATGACATGATGATAAATAACTATGAAGATTTCAGGCTTTTATCTTTAGTAGTTCCTGAGATATTGTCGTTCGAACAGCCTCGATTTTCGATGTGCCAAAAATGTGCCGACAGTGGGTCGACTGGAATTTATTTTTCTTTTTTAATTGTCTTGTAAAGCACCTATTACATCAATCTGTTTCACAAATACCATTTTAAATATCCATAGTTTATGATTACAAGAAGTTTTAAGCTCATCAGAGATGGTTGAGCAGGAGTTTCTTGCAGCCTTTCTCTCTAATGGCAGCAGTACAAACTGTTGTGGTTTTCAGATGTTTGAATTCGTTTCTAATAGCAGTCGCTGCTCGGTGGCCATGAACATCGCCAATCTCTCTTTACTGATGCTGTCTGCTGTGCTGATCCATCTGATCAAAGCTCCTTCAGAACAGCGTGAACACACAATCAGCTCGACTACTTGAACACAGCTCAAATCAGATTGATTGCGTGAACTTGATGTGGCCTTTAGGAGCTGCTGCACTGATTTGCTTTATGGAACTGGCTGCTGCAGAGATGATGTCATTTTTGTTTAGAATCTGCTTGTTCTTCTGCCCTCTAGAGGCTAAAATTTGACTAATGCAGCTTTAACGAATGAATCTCTGCAGCAGCGTCAGGTTTTACTGACAGGAGACCGAGCTGAGAGTTAAACCTGCCTTCAGGAGCAGCTCCAGCCAACATGAGATTATACCGTAGATGAATCCAGTTGTTACCGGTCCAGCAGGATGCCACAGCTCCCTCTAAGCCCACACTGAGGGCCTGAGAAGGGCACATAGTGATCTTCAGATCAAGCCAGTGTCGGGAAGCTCGCAGTGACGCAGCTGTTGACGTCCAGCCGGCTGGACTGAAGCCCGAAAGCCTCGCTGACGTCATCAAACGTCTAACTGCTGAGACAAAGCAGCAGAGAAAAGCCGGCTGATGCTCTTGTGTTGGGTTTGTGGAGCTTAAAACGGGTGTCGTCACGTTCGTGTGGGTGCAGAGCTGCAGCCTGGATTTCTAGATGAAGTCATGTTCTGTTTTTATACCAGACAGCAGTTTAAGTCAGGCAGGGTAATTAAAGAACAGCGCTCCTCTGATCTCCAGTTAAAGTTCATCTATGACAGAAATATTCCTCTAAGGAAAGTGTGAACTTCATTTTAACATTTTAAACTGACAGTCAGGATGTCAGGTACCACTGATGTCCACTCAGACTCACATTTTCTGCTCTTTGTGTGGAAGCGTGTGCTGTGATATTATTGCTGTTCGTGGTCGACTTGTTCTGGTTATTCAGCTGCACCGCCCGACTTCAACAATCCCAAAGTTTAAGTGGAACATGTTCTAAAATCTGTTTTTGGCATCTGTCTGTTTGCATTTCTGTATGATACAACAATTGAGCAGCAAACTGTGCAAAGTTTCTGATTTTATTATCCATTAAAGTCAATCAATTATTCATCTTTAAAACCAATAATAATATAATCTTTATTTGTCCAAGTAAGCAAGTGCTTCAAAAGGCAGCAAATTAAAATAAACAAGCATTAAAATGACTCCTTAAATTATCTCTTCATAATAGAATTTTTATAGTCTCATTTCCTCAGACTCAATTTATCCACCTTTTAATCTGCTAGAGAGACATAAGTGTATTTTTGGGGGCAGATTTTTTTGACATTATTATGAGGTTACGTAGCACAGACTTGTCAGATCAGTCCAGTGGATCACCAGACAACAAACCTGTACATCTAACAGCAGCTTGCATTGAATTAAGGCTGAAATATCCCCAAAACCTTCTCTTTTCATGTGTAAGAAGTTTTATGTCAACTATGGCTTCACACACAGTCAGGTTACAGTATAAAGAGCAGAAAAAAAGAGTTAAATTCCAACTCAGAAAATATCCACACTGGCTTCTGGGATGAACCCAAAGAGCTCGACAAACAGGGAAGACTTGGGGATTTGTGTTGACTACATGCTCAGCAGTGAGCGCCTCATCAGAGACCCAGCCGGCGAGAAATGCACCATCGGTTTAAGCTCACGGTGACTTCAGTGAACGACTGTCAGCTTGACGAGTTTGAAGCAGCTGCAGAAACACACACACACACACACACACACACACACACTGCAGCGTTGGTGGGCATGTGTATGTGTTTTCCTAAAGTTGCACAGACATTAACCTGTTTGCAAAGTCACATTATACGATAAAAGAAATGAGTTCTTCTAATCTTTTAGAGTGAGGAGGACTTAGTTTAAGGCTGGAGGGAGGGTTCACAGAGTTGTGGACATAAATAAATGTAGGTCAATGTCCTCGACTGTGTCTGTTTTTAATACAAGTGAAACACGAGAGTGAGATGGATGTTAATTTTACATCATCATCATGATCTTCTTTGCCAGCAATCAGCTGCTGTATTACTTAAAATGTAATGCATGCACAGGTTGATTTTTACATGTCTGCAAAAATGTTTTTTTTTAGAATATGTAATGCAGACCTGATGCTCATTTCATTTAATACAGATTTAAGAGTGTGTCATTTGATGTTTATTCCATATTCAAATTAATAGAAGGAATACAATTAATTCTACCACCAGTAACATAAAAAAATTCAAATTTATGTTGGTTGAGAAAGAAATAAAAAAAAAAAACAGGTACTCTCATTTTCTGTGGTGCTGAGCTCCGATGCATCCTGTTTGATTATTAGTATCCAGTTAGTCTTGCTTACAGAGACAGAAGTGTAATTTCAGCGCTCACTGAAACTTCAAACCTGAATCACTAAATGAATCTAAAGAATAAACGCTTAAAAAATTTGTAATTTTGCCTTTAAATGAAGTGTTTTTCTCCTTCAGGTTTTACGACAACATGATTGGCTGAGTATTTCCTGGTTCGGCAGTTACAACGCAGTTGATTGGCTGTTTCGGAGGAGGGGCGTGGCATGTGTCAATCAGCCGTTGTCTTGAAAAATTCACCCAAAAATTTATATTCAGGAATATTTTAAGTTTCTTTCTGACTCTCCTCACACACACATGGAGGCTTGTAGGTGAACCAACGGCGACTTTATAAAACACGAAGCTTCGTGTGTTCAAGCTAGTGTTTGATTCGGTTCTGGGATACGATAGAGAGATGGCGGCACAAAATGACGGACAGGAAGACAAGTCGCTACTTCGGTATATATGAAGGACTCATTTTAAGGTAAAGAAATGCAATATTTCTCGTTTTCAGGTGATTATAAACTAATGAAAACGCAATTATAAGCGATATATGATACTACTGTTAATAGGTAACCATGGGAGTTAGACAAAATTGACTTTTAATACATTAAAGTTTACAGCAAGCTAACAGGTCAATACTTTACAAAATGTGCAAAGAAACACTGGGCTTGATAACTTATGTTGACTAACTTGATAACTTTAATTAAGCTAACAATCAGGATTCACTAGGTTTTCCTTTGTCACATTAGCAGAAAGAAAATTGCAATTATCATAGCGAGTTAACATGTCTCATTAGGCAGCTAGTTAGTTAGCCAACGTTAGCATTTTAGCTAGTTTACACTGTACCAGCACTTGATAAATGTCATTAGGACAACTCCTAACTGTGTGTGTTATTAAAGAAGGTGAAATATAGACAATAGCAATAATAATAAAATGTATTTTTACTACTTTTTTTCCCCACAAAGTTAAAAGTTGCTTAAAATAATTAAAAGCCAAGATAAACCTAACTAGCAGATCAGTG